CTAGCTCCAGCAGACAAGAGTCCTTTGTCTCACCCTGGTCATTCCACAGATATATAAACCCTTTTTCCTAGTTCCAACAGACCTCACTACCTCTGCGGATGCTTGCCATAGATGCAGGTGAAATGTCAGGAGAGAATGCCTCTAGACCATGGCCATATAGCCCGAAAAAACCTAAACTAAGTATCTTTAAAAGTATGATGAAAACCAATGGTTGCTTTAAAAAAATATAAGCAATTAACAGTTAATATATTTTTTCAAGTAATCACCTTGATCACAACTGTTTGATTTTTTAAAAAAACTTCTGCAAATTATATTGGCTTTGATCCATGCTCCCTGTAGGTTTCATTCTGGAAACATTTTTCTTGCATCAAAGGAGAACGAATGCAGCCTACTGTCATTGGAATTCCCCCCCCCCCTTTAAATCATGGCTTCATATACATGCAAATACATGCAGATTTAATTAATACAAGAAACCATAGAAGTTCATGATTAAAACTGAGTAATTTATCATGATTTCAGTCTTTAGGAGAGATTTCTAAGAACCTGGGAGGGTAACAATAGCTCAGCAGTTCATTCATCCTCGGAATAAAAAAAAAGAGGCAGGTTATGGTTTCCACTCACGGCTCCTTAAATGAGGACTGGTGAGATGGGATTAGTGTAATTGACTTTTTAAAAACATGAACTAACAAATAGTCATCACTAATGAAGCAGCCCATTAAAGAAGGCCTACGTCATGACCTCAATCCTGTTACATTCCGGTGTTTCACAATCTTGGGCAGTGCCACCTAAATGAATTGTTCAGTATTTAATTAAGTCCTGAAAGTGGCATGTGCTAATTCAAACCCATTATGTCTCAAGACATTGCTGAGATCTTACTTTGTTGTTTGATAGTCTCAAAGTGGTTACAAATAGAACCTATTCAGGCGCTTAAGTGCAACTCAGTTTTTAAAATGTAAGTGAACAAAACATACATTTTGACTAAAGGTCAAAGGGTTAAATAACTTACATTTTTCTACAGATTTCTACAAGGGTGTGAAAAGTATAACCCTGGCTGGGCTAGGCCTATTTTACAAAAAGAGTATGTTTAGAATGTTTCCAAATGTCACCCAGATACTTATTTACTTAGGTGATCCCTCGTTTTCCGAGGAGGATTATCTTCCAGCATTCTTGTGGGTCCGTATGTGGCTGTGGTGCCCTATTCGTGATCTGCATCTTTTCCTGCAGTGAGGGCATTGATTTCCAGGTAGAAGGTGATTTTGGTCGGGGTTGGCTTGACACGCATTTCTCTTGGCACGTTTCTCTCTATTGCCTTCCATTCGTACCTCTTCAAATTCTACAGCACTGCTGGTCACAGCTGACCTCCAGCTGGAGCGCTCAAGGATCAGGGCTTCCCAGTTCTCAGTGTCTATGTCAGAGTTTTTAAGGTTGGCTTTGAGCCCATATTTAAATCTCTTTTCCTGCCCACCAACCTTCCGTTTTCCGTTCTTGAGTTTGGAGTAGAGCAACTGCTTTGGGAGATGGTGGTCGGGCATCCGGACAACGTGGCAGGTCCAGTGAAGTATCATAGTGATGAAGATGGAGAATAAGGTTGGGGCACTAAAGCTTCCCTGTTTGACACCTGATTCCACCTTAAATGCATCACTTTATTTATTTATTTAGAGCTTTTATAACCCAGTCTTCTCGAGCTTCAAAGAGGGACTCAGGCTGGCTAACAGCAGAAAATTCAACACAAATATAGTAAACATAATAACATCATAATACATTAATACAAAATACATTAAAATACAGATCATACAATATCATAGAATTACAAAAGCCAGATCGTCAGAATAAAATCACAAAATCATCACCATCTGCCAGTGTGGTCAGCCGTTATTGACTCGATTATCATTCTGCAAATGCTATATTCCAAAGCCAGGTTTTTACCAGCTTTCTGAAAGTCAGGAGGGAAGAGGCAGACCTAATCTCCAACGGGAGAGAGTTCCAGAGCTATATAGCCCGAAAAAACCTACAACAACCCAATAATAATAATCATCATCATCTTCATCTTTATTTATACCCTGCCACCATCTCCCCAATGGGGTCTCGGAGCGGCTTACATGAGGCCAAGCCCAGACAGCAAATTACGATACAATAAAACCAAAAAGGCAAACAATAAACAACATAATTACATAAAACATGTGAAAACATAGCAATATACAATTACAATAGGCACAATCTCAATGACAATGGGCAGGCTACATGTAATGGTTAAAAGAGAGACTGATTAAAACTGATTAAAACTCAGGCGATATAAAGGTAAAGGTTTTCCCCTGACATTACATCCAGTTGTGTCCGACTCTGGGTGTGGTGCTCATCTCCTTTTTTAACCCAAAGAGCCGGCATTGTCTGTAGACACCGCTAAGATCATGTGGCCGGCATGACTGCATGGAGCACCGTTACCTTCCCGCCAGAGCGGTACCTATTGATCTACTCACATTTGCATGTTTTTGAACTGCTAGGTTGGCAGAAGCTGGGGCTAACAGCGGAAGCTGATGCTGCTCCCCGGATTCGAACCTGCGACCTTTTGGTCAGCAAGCTCAACAGCTCAACGGTTTAACCCACTGAGCCACCGGGGGCTCCCACTCTTTGTATTAGAGCAGTTCTAATATGGATGAAACTCTTAAACCTCTCTCCCTGAATTGCCTCGTTCTCTGAAGCTTCATACTGGGTTTCCTTTGACTTGTTCATTCATGCTCCAGGTTGTTCTGGAAAGATCACTAGCTCCTTGCCAAAAATGAGTTGTCTTAACTTGCTGCATCAGTTTATAAGGAATTCGGTTTTGGTTCATACAAATCCTAAATGTTTCATGGGTGGGTTAAATATCTCCCTCAGTATAGAATAGATATTCCAAACTTTGTACGCCTGTCTCAATACATACATTTAAACGTAATTTTGTAATTTGCTCCCTTAGCTGATAAATAGTAAAACTTTTGGATCATGACAAAGAAATACATCTTTTATTTATTTATTTATAACATTTCTACCCTGCCCCTCTCAACTCCCGGAGGGGGGAACTCAGAGTGGCTTACACTGGCAACAATTCGATGCCGCAACAAATATGACAAGTATAACAGCAATATAAACAATAAATAAAACAATTGATTAAAACAATTAAAACATTATTATCATAATCATATAGCAATTTCTATCATTATCACAATCATGTAGTCCAGTTTGACATCCAAGGTGCAGTCATGCCTGCTGGCCAAAAGCCTGGTTCCAAAACCATGATTTTAATTTCTTCCTAAAGGAAAGGAGGGATGGAGCCGACCTGATCTCACTGGGGAGCAAATTCCACAGGTGGGGGGGGGGTCACTGCTGAGAAGGCCCTGTCTCTCGTCCCTACCAGACGCGTCTGCGAAGCTGATGGGACCAAGAGCAGGGCCTCCCCGGACGATCTTAAACTACGAGGTGGAACGTAGAGGGAAATACGTTTGGACAAGTAAGCTGAGCTGGAGCTGTATAGGGTTTTATAGGCCAAGTTTAGACTTCAATTATAAGTTTTGTTCTCATCTTCACATTGCAGAATCCCAAATATTTTGGTTTCTTTATTCATAATTTCAGAGAAGCAGGAGCTAAATGCAGATCATGGATGTCAGGACTTAAAGTAAATCAGGTCTTTGGCTGCTTTTTTTCCTTTTCTGAAAGACATCACACACAAGGAATATCTGTTCATAGGCAGATAAATATGCAGAGACATTTGACCTGCTACTATATTCCCTTTCTTGGGTGTAATTCTAGTGAGGCAGTGAGTGCTGGCACTGGAATTTCTACTGAAATTTGAAGCACTGAAGGAGAAAACAGTGGAGATATGGAGCCAGTGCATTCCCTCTGGGCTACAATCTGAATTCAAAGGGAGATATTAAAGATCTTGAAACCTACCCACATAGGTTCAGAATTTTGGATGGTTCCTTAAAGTTAAAATTAAAGCCCAAGTCAGATTTATAGTCCCACCAACAAAGAAACAGCCATAGTTAAGAATGAGGTTGAGACAACAGGAATGGAGAGAAATCTACTCATAGGAAGGGAAATTCACTTGGAAAGAGTTCTCATGGGAAAAAGGTGTCTCAGATGAAGCTTTCTCACCAATCCTTGTTTCCACAACAAGACAATATGTTCAAAATCCAGTTCTCACAGGGACAGAAAGTGAGGTTAAATCTTCTGAACTGGGACAATAGGCAGCAAAACAACAACCACCTGAGTGTTAACCCTTCCCGATGTTATGCAAAGCTCGTGTGTGCGTGCATGTGTGTATTTATTTATTTACTACATTTATATCCTGCCCTTCTCATCCCAAAGGGGACTCAGGATGACTCACAGCAGAGGCACAATTTGATGCCTTGAATACATATAAAAATAAAACAACATAAACTCTAAAATCACATAATTAAAACATATCACTTAAAATAATTACTTAAAATCACACAGTCCAAAAGCATATTCCAGGAGCCTTTCCAATTGTCATTGTTCATTATTATACTGTGAAATTGTTGTTGCACTGGGAATCATATGCAAACACTTGGCCCCACAACCTGGATTTCTTTTCTTCCTGAAGGTCGGGAAGTGTGTGTGTGTATATTCAGCTGGAGTTACACTTAAAAAAATGTACCTGTTTTGACATACAAACAGAACATATCTTGTACTGTTGAAGGCTTTCATGGCCGGAATCACTGGGTTGTTGTAGGTTTTTTCGGGCTATATGGCCATGTTCTAGAGGCATTCTCTCTTGACGTTTCACCTGCATCTATGGCAAGCATCCTCACTACCTCTGAGGATGCTTGCCATAGATGCAGGCGAAACATGAGGAGAGAATGCCTCTAGAACATGGCCATATAGCACAAAAAACCTACAACAACTTAGTTATTCTGGCCATTCCAACAACCCAGAACATATCTTGTTCATGACTTGAGGACTGCCTGTAATACATTTGCAACTCCTTTCTCTTTATTGCACTGCAGTAATAACAACCCGTATGCTTCGTTTGGAGCAACCCAGGCGTGGGATGAAGATAAAAACTTGTGGAGCGCCCCTCATGACGTCTCCCACACCGAAGCCGATGATGACCGGGTCCTGTACAACCTCATTGTGGTTAGAGACAGATTGGACAAAGATTCTGAGGTAAGGTCTGTAGGCACAAATGCCTACTAAACCAGAGCTTTGGGACTCCTACAAGTCCACGACAGCAGGGGATTATAATACAAAAAAGTGACTTGTTTATGATTGAGCATAAATAAATAGAACAATAATTGCTGCTGATTGATATGATGCAATACAATTACCTCTCTGTATCCATGAATTCTACATTGACAGATTCAACCAGCCATGGCTTGAAGATATTAAAAGCAAAACGAAAAGCAAACCTTTATTTTGCCAGTTTATATAAAAGATGCCATTTTACTATTCCAGTGTATATAATAAGACTTGAGCATCCACAGATTTTGGTATATGGGGTACAGGGTTGATCCTGCAATCAACCCCAGCAGATATTGAAATCCCATTGTATTGCTAGTTACTTCTGTTACTTTCTCCAAAAGAGTGGAATTTTGTTGGTGATGTTATGTATTTCTAACTTGTTGTCTGCAGTTGAAAAAGCAAAAAGCCATATGGGTTTCCTTAGACTCCAAAGTATGAGTGCTACTAAAGAAAGGGTTTGAATTTCAGACAACGGAATTTGGTCAATGTCATTCTTTCTGATATAGCTCCATTCAGCTGCCTAAGGAAAACATGATCTTGCTACCTTAAGTGATTCTACTTTAGACACACCAAATAATCGGATGGTGGTATGGCCAAATACTTGCTCTGAAATTGTGGAAGTTGAGGTTGCAACCAGATGCCAGATAACTATTTGATCTAGCTAACTCTGTCTGATAAATTTTTGCAAAGAGTATTCTTCATCTACACCAAATAGTAGGGTTGGCCAAGTGCCTATCATGAGAAAGGGGAAGGATGGAAATAGGTGAGGTGCAATAAGGTGGTCCAGAAGTAAAAACAGGTAGGCCAAAGTGGGTGCTTGACAAGTGGCTTCCCCAAGCTGCAGAGACCATTCTCAGGAGAAGAGTGCACTGGAGATTTTCATTGTCCTTGTAGTATCTATTTTGTCTTTTGCTATGTAAAAATGCCCACCTCCTTCTTAGCTATCCTTTTCATAAATTGCAGAACTGGGATTTTTAGGAGGAGAAAGGTGGAGAATAGCCAGGACAACTTCTTCCTGCGGTTGCCATTGTCTCCCTCATTCCCATTAAATGTTGAGATATCGTTCTCTTGAAGGAGTGGAGGCAATGTTTTCCAATCTTGGGTTGTTGTACGTTTTTTGGGCTATATGGCCATGTTCTAGAAACATTCTCTCCTGAAGTTTCGCCTGCATCTATGACAAGTATACTCAGAGGTTGTGAGGTCATAGATGCAGGCGAAACTCCAGGAGAGAATGCTTCTAGAACATGGCCATATAGCCCAAAAAACCTACAACAACCCAGTGATTCCAGCCATGAAAGCCTTCGACAATACATTTCCAATTATTATTATTAAAATTATTAAACTTTATTTGTACCCCGCTAGCATCTCCCCAAGGACTCGATGCGGCTTACAAAGGCCAAGGCCTCAACACACAATACAACAATACAAAACCTAAGGCAAATTAAAAACAATTAAAGCAATATAAACAACAGGCAATAAACTGTACACTAAGACACAATAAAACTGGGCCGGGCCAGAGTAATGGGTACAAGATTAAAAGTGCTGATGTGACGGGTGGTATATAAGGCATTATGGGCAAGTGCAGTGTGCGGTGTGCAGCAGTCTTAGTTCTAGTAAAATGCTTGTGGGACTTGGTATTGGAGATTTCCTATTCTGGGGAGGCACATCGGAACAGCCAGGTCTTCAAGTTCTTTCTGAAGACTGCCAGTGTAGGGGCCTGTCTAAGATCTTTGGGGAGGGTGTTCCAGAGTCGGGGGGCCACCACGGAAAAGGCCCTGTCTCGTGTCCTCACCAAACGCGCTTGCGACGCAGGCGGGATCACGAGCAGGGCCTCTCCAGATGACCAAAGTGAACGTGTGGGTTCGTAGATGGAGATGCGGTCACGCAGGTAGGATGGTCCCAAACCATTCAGGGCTTTGTAGGTAAGCACCTGCACCTTAAATTGGGCTCAGAAAATAAACGGCAGCCAGTGGAGCTCCTTGAACAGGAGGGTTGACCTCTCTCTGTAAGGGGCCCCAGTTAACATCCTGGCTGCTGCTTGTTGGACCAGTTGGAACTTCCGAGCCGTTTTCAAGGGCAGCCCCACGTAGAGCGCATTGCAGTAATCCAATCTGGAGGTGACCAAGGTATGGACCACCAATCTTCTTCTCCGGAGAGAGATGAAATGGGGCTATTGGCTGCTGGCTCAGTGAGCCTCCTACCTTATATTCTGGCATATAAGACTACTTTTTAACCCAAGAAAATCTTCTCAAAAGTCAGGGGTTGTCTTATACGCAGGAGTCGTCTTCTATGTGGGAGTAGCCTTATGCATGGGAGTCGTCTTATATGCGGGAGTAGTCTTATACACCTGGAGGCGTCTTATAGAGCGAGTTCTGAAGCTCAAAAATGGTTCTGGGAGCTCAAAAATGGCAGTGGTCGCGTCCCTGCCGTATGCAGCGACTGTATGAAAGCATTAAGGGCGATGCTGTACAAGTATGGTAGAAAAAAATCCATTCATCAGGATTCGTGGACTTAATGCGGTCCCGATGGTGTGGTGAAGGGGTGTCTCACCGGGAAAATGTAAGTGAAGGGCGGAGCCAACTGCGGGCGCCCGGGGCGCCCGGGGTATGGAAAAAAGAGATCTCTGGGCCCAGACAAACACACCTCTTTTACCTGTCTGGCCCTCCCTTGTATCCTATTGCCATACCTCCTCCTCTGCCTCTCAGATCTCGCTCCTGGAGTCTGCAGTGAAGCGGTGCAGGTGCGCATGTGCAAGATCTGAGCGGCAGAGAAGGAGGCACAGTAATAGGAAAATTACCATATTTAAATCAAATCGGATGCTTTTAAAATTTTTATTTGGTGTGTGTTGGAAGAGGGGGTAGTCTTATACAGCGAGTATATCCCAAACTCTATATTTTAACTGAAAAAAATTAAAATATACGCCCACTCATTTTATATGTTGGAATATACGGGCAGTTACTGCCACAATGATAGAAAATGCAGCAGGAAAAAAGGTGAGTTGTAGGTATTCCAAGAACCCTCTAATTAAGTTAAAACTAAGCTCATCTTTTTTTTTTTTTTTTTTGCAAACATGCAAATAAAACATAAATGCAGAAAAAGAGCATGCTGTCTTATCAGGGAGCATATATCTAAGGTCCTATCTACACTGACATGTAGTCCTGTTTGAACTGCATTATAATGGTCAGTGCAGACTCATATAATGCAGATTGAACTGCATTGAACTGGATTGTGTGAGTCTACATTACCATATAATCCAGTTCAATGCAGTTCAATCAACATTTTGAAACTGGATTATATGGCAGTGTAGATGGGGACTAACTCAAGAGCATTTTCTCCTCTCAGAACTGCAGATTTGCTGTTTGTCTCTCTTCAATTTAGGCTGAAGGATAATTATTTATTTAAGATCAACCAAGTAGTGTCTTTAAGACTGAAAACAGGATTTGAACCTAAGCGTTCTGCTTCCGAGCTTCACTATATATTTTGTGACAGAAGCAACGTGTCAAGCAAAATCTTCACAGCAGCATTTGGATTAGTGATATCTGAATCTAGGGCAATAGTCTTTTTATTTTCTGATAGGATGACAGAATACGGAAGCTTGTTTTGGCAGTTTCATATACATTTAATATTAAACCTCATTTTAATCAGGGTATTAACATACGTTGATAGCTAATTTTCTGTGAACTAAAAACTGAATTATGCCTGTTAAACCCTCTTGTCAAAAGAAGGATAAGTTGATATCAGTGGAGTCCTGATTTGCAGTCAGGGATTTTTTCCCCTCTTTAATGTTGGAGGGCAGATTTTATTTATGATATGTAGAGCCTTTCTATTTTCCAATGTTCCGTTCGACAAATTACACCATTCTATTAATGCCAGTAATAAACCTTCCAACTGTCAGATCGCATAGATATGGATTTTATAATGGATTGAATCTGGTACTATAAATAATCCCAAAAGCGAAATAAGGGATGAGGGATTTCTAGACATTTGGGAATATTTTTGACAACCTTTGAATTTGTTTGTTTTATTTTTGTTTGTGCCCAGGTGGTGCAGAAAGGATGCCCCAAACCTATCATTAGAAGGAAGGATACGGGACAGAGCAAGGGATCAAAATATGGTTTAACATCCCTTCATAGTGGTATTTTGCATATGAAATGTTTGAGGAGTGACATTCATTTTCTCTATTAAATAAGCGAAGAAGAAAATGAGAGCAGACCTTCTCTCCTTCTGCTCTTTATCACAGTCAGGCCGGACAGTGGACCACGCCATTTTGCAATGTCCCTTTGCACACAATGTACAATGATATGTTGTGTTGCCTCTTATTTCACATGCATTTTATTGCCAGGCAATAATCACAAAGTATTTGAGGTATTTAAATAAAATAGTTATAAACAGTTCCCATTCATGTGTGGACCTATACACCACATATCATTATTTTGGTCTTCTCATGAATGTTCTTTCTGATATTGCAGGCTAAACATCTTGAACAATTGGTGTCAGCCTACTTGGATATATGGAATCAGAACAATCATGTATAGAAAGAGGAATAGATGTATAGTGATGCCTTGACTTAAGAGTTTAATTCGTTCCATGACCGAGTTCTTAACTCAAAACACACTGATCTCAAAGTGAATTTCCCATTGAAATGCAATTAATTTTTTTCGTCCCCCCTCAAAAAAACCCAATTAACAAACAAACAAACAAATTAGTAACAAATAATGTATACATGCAATTCACATGGAACAATTAAAAGGATCAACTTTAAAATGGTAGAAGCACAGAGTAGTGGCAAAGAAGCACAAAGTGAAGAAGCGGAATCATAGAATCATAGAGTTGGAAGAGACCTCGTAGGCCATCCTCGTAGGCCAATCATAGAGTTGGAAGAGACCTTGTGGGCCATCAGGTCCAACCCCCTGCCAAGAAGCAGG